CTAAAACAGAAGAAAACATTTTTTCTTCAAATTAAGTGATGATCAAGTCTAGGAAAAACCATACTATGTAGCTTATGTCAAGACTGTCACTCGAGAATATTATAGAAGTGTTATGGATTGTGAAGGCAAAAACATGATCTGAGAGAACTGATAAGGTATTCCATAGTTTTTCTGAATTACAGATTAGTATAACTTTATTGTTCATTTTATATCTCTACTTTCTACATTATATATAGTTTGTATTGAGCAAACTAAAATGACCAAACCTAACCCATGTTTTCACTGTATTTGATGTTGTTATAATTTGGGAGGGGAAGGGAAAAACCAAATTATTTAAATAGGGTACAGATTGACCCATTGCAACAATGAGATATACAAGACACTGTCGAAAATAAACTTTACAATTTAGGTGGGGTGGGGAGGGCTCGAGAGGAATGGAGTTGGTGGGGATGTAGCTGAGGAGGCCGGAAGGGATAGTAGGGGGAAAACAAAGGAGGAAGCAACAATGCTTGATAAGAAATGTACTCATTACCTTGCTCATGTAACTGTAACCCTTCTGTATACTATTTTCACGAAAAAAAAACAATTAAAAAAATAAAATGACCAAACTAAAATTTTTAAATAAATATCTAGAAAATAAATAAGAATGACTCATTACTTAATGAAAAGGCATCTTTTTTCAAGAAACTGTAAAAATATGCCTGGAAAGGGTTGAAGAATTAGGGCACAGGCAAAGAGAAGGAGGAATCATAAAGGCATGTCCCTTTCTAGGAACACATATTAGATCTCTCTTGCCTTTCTGTTTATAGTACATTTTTATTGTGAAGATACTGTACATAGGGGTTACAATTACATGAGCAAAGTAATGAATCCATTTCCTCTTTTGTTTTCCCTTACCATCCCTATTCTCTCCAACTCCTTCCTCTCCACACACCCCCTGAAAAGTTGTAAAGTTCATTTTCAATATAGTGTCATGTACATCTCATTGTCACAATGGGTCATCCTATATCATTATTTCAGCATTTTGTTATTTCCCTTCCCCTCCTCAAATTAGAAATAGGTATATACAAGATGCAGGACACCGGAATCAGATCAGTGACAATAGAGGTGGTACAATGGAGGAAGAACATACAAAGAAACAAAAAAAAATCACAAAGTACATTATTAGTACATTAAAAAGAACAACAAGAAAGATAAAATCTCTTGTGCCCCTATCTTGGGGTTCATTTGGCTTAGTATCAGGTTATATGGTCATATGTACATAGCTTTTGACCTCTTCTCCTTGTCCTAGACATATACTAGTTATTGCAGATAAGGGAAACCATGGGACCTTTGTTTCTTTGATTCATAAGTTAAGAGTTGTGAACTATTGGGATTTTAAGATTACAACAAACTTTCAAGAATTTTTTTTTAATCAAACTTTCAGTGCTTGGCTCTATAGCTTTTAATAAAATAAATTTCCTTATCTCTCTTTTTTCCTTCCTGCAACTTTTGAAATTTAGGACATTTGCTTTTATTATACTTCAAAAACAATGACTAAACAATATAAGACAAGAAAAGAATAACTGAATCTCTATGGTCCCCAAGTCCAGTGAAGTCTCTCCATTGCTACCTAGGGAACATTGGCTGAAAAAGGGAAAGAGGAAACAAATGCAACTTGGAATTATCAAATAAACAAACTTGTCCAGTAAAACAAGCTAGTTAGGAAGATAAAGGGGAAGAAAGGGGAAAGTAGAAGAGATGGAAGAGAAAAATATACACATTGATGTAAAGAGTTGGGAATCCTAGAACCCAATAGAGAAATTCACTCTGTAGATACATTGTCACTTGTTAACTGCAGAA